CTGGCCATGGCAGAACAGACACTTAGGCTAGAGAGAAGTGGCATAGCACTTAAAGGGCTAGGGTAGGAGGGGAGCTCCCCACAGGACTGCACAGCTGGGGCAGCCCTCACCTCTTACACAAAAGGTATTCCAGGGCTCATGCCCAAGAAGGCTCTATAATGCACCTTAGTGTGAGGACTAAAGAGCATCAAACCACTCAAGTCCTCCCTGCATGGGTCTTTTGGCACTGGGTAGGGTCCACTCCCAGAGAAGAGCCAGGCCTTGGACCTCTCCCCACCTACAGTACCAGTCTATTGTAAATCCTCAAGTCCTTCATTCCATGTTCTGAGCTCTGGTTCCTCCTCCAAGAGCAGCACTGCTCGCTGCTCCAAGATACAGCCTGACACCCTCACCATGACCACTGCCTAGGCCAGACACTTCAGAGAATCACCCCCCACTCCAGTACAAAAGCACAGGCCAGTTCATCTTCAAGAAGGCTACTGAAAATACTTGCATAAGTCAAAAAAGCACAGAGCACAGAAAAGGGACGATAAAGTGTTTATATGCTATGAATTTAGGAAAAGCTTATTTATTCAGGCATGTTCATTGAGAACAACATTTACATGAGACACCAACCAGCTCAGGAAAAGGCAAGAAAACATTTCAACAAGCAAGTTCAGAACTGAAGTACCTAGTTCAGATGGCTGCCCTTGGATTTGGGGGAGAAAAATGGAGATAGCTTGTGCTGAGCCACTGGGTTTCGGTAACAGCTGATGAGTGCACTGTTAAAAAGGGCCTGCAAAATCCGCAGAAGGGCAGAAGCACATCCCTTGAGGCTGCAGAGCTGTTCCAGATCCTCTTCCACCATTCCTCACCTGCCGAGTCCCTGGGGAAGGCCAGGCCATTCTGCTGCTCACAGCTCTCCCCACCAGCTGCAGCCGGAAGCAGAGACCAGCTTCCCTTGTGCAGGAACCTCCCCGAGCAGCCAGCCAGGGAGCTGGGGCTGCCAGCACCCGAAGCAGCTGATGTACACGTGCAGGCCACACTTCCCCTGCCAGAACACCCCCCTTCTCCACATTTGACAGAGGAAGGAGGCACAAGCAGAAGAGTTCAAAACTCATCATCTGAACCATGTACCATGCTTTTAACAGCCAGCAGACACATCAAAGCACCAAGTGCTTGAGCGAAAAGCACCTTGGTAAAACACGCAGGCAGGAGAACCCCACACAAGGTAAAGGCTACACCAGAGTCACTGCTGACCACGGTTCATGTTGGCAGGGAAACCAGGTACTTCCAGAACAGGCTCCTCTCCCTGGAAAACGCAGCCCAAGGGGCAAAGAGACCCCTGCCCCGCTGTCGCTGAGCAGCAGCACACACAGCTTGGAGCATCCAGCTGGCAGCCTCGCTGCCACTGACCTGCTGCTGGCAGCAGGACACAGCGGGGGAGCTCGAGGGCACCACAAACACTTTGTTGTAACCCAAATCCAGACGGGGCTCAGCAGCTGACAGCAAACTGCACAGAGGCCTGCCAAAAAGGGGCAAGGAGGTACATAAATAAAAGCCCATGAACAATACTGGTTAACCAAAATACATTCCAGTCTCCTCTGCACTGAAAATCCTCCTGCTCCTGGCAGGAGCAGAGCTGAAGGAGTGAGCATTACTTACCAAGGACTCAATTTCAGCACCTCGCAAAACCCAGCCCTGCTAGAAAAGAACACTCAGCTAATTACTCCTACTTTTATACAGGCAACTGTAAAGAGCATTATCCTTCCAGCTCCTACCTGCTCAGTACCATCAGAACAGCCTCCACTTCCCTACATCTGAAAGGTTTTCTTCCTAATAATGCAAGGGGAGCCTGCATCCTACAGGCCAGCTGAGCACAACAATCAAGAGAACATGTCCTCACCCAGCTCCTGCCATTCCATCTGCTCACATCTAGAGCTTCAGAACATGAGACTTCATCCCTACAGCATCACAGTGTTGCCATTAATTGATCATCCCCATTTTCCTGTGAGGTGATAAAGCAACTGCACTGATTTCAGAGCAAGATTAAATGACTCACCCAGACTCACTCAGGAAGCTGAGCCCTAGGCTTACACAAAACCTGACTTGGCTAGCCTGCCTCACTAACTCGCCCTTCCTATGCCTCCAAACACATTCACCCCAGAAATTAAAAATCTGCTGAGGGCTCTTAGCACAGAGAGCCGCCATGCATCATACACACCCACCTTACATGACTTGGCAGCAGGGGAGCTTCTTCCTCAGAGAAGTCACACACAGGTGACAGCCCTGCTTCACTGCTGTGCTGCAGGACACCTTCTCCGGGCACCGGTTCTGGACCATGGCCGAGCCTCACAACAGCAGCGCTCATGCAGAGCTCCTAGAGCATGCTGAAGCTACAAGCAGTATTTACCAGCAGGACAGAGTTCTGCATCTCCTCTGAGATGGAGCCTGCTCCATCAGCTGCATCCCCATGTAGCACCCTGGACAGCCAAGCAGCTAGGAGCCCTGTGCCTGCTGCAGATTTCAGCCCTGCTCAGCTACACACTCCTCCCCATTCCCATCCCAGAAGTAGCTCAGCAGCTCAGCATCCCTTTGCTGTTGGCCAGTACATTTCTTTGAGCTTTCAGCACTTTCCCAGATGTCCCAAGGTAGGTGCAGAGCTTTGCTCATTCTGCTCTAATCCTGAGCACAGCACAGAGTTCCTCCTTCTGCCCATGATGTCAGGGACAACCAGAGGAAAGGGGGCACATTGCCCTGCTCTGAAGTACACATTATAGCCAGACACAAGCATCCATTGGCTTTGCCATCAGATTCCCTATGTCTTGCTTGCAAACACTGCTCTCCACTAGCCAGTTGTGTCTGGCTCCACAGCAAGGCTGATAATTGCAGTGAAACATGGAGTAAAAAAGGTTAGCTGCAACTAGCAAGTGCTAATTCCGAGGCAAGCGCTCTGCTGAGATATTCATTAGCTCTCCAGGGTCAGGATGTTCTCTAGTGACTCAATTCCTCACATACCTACTTAGCTTATACTCCATTCTTACTCAGTCTGTGGACCTCTGGCTTCACCACAGGGAATCTGAGCTCAGGAAGAGTTCATCTTATTGTACACTCAGTAAGGCAGATCTGACCTCAGAGACAGGTTAAGTGCAATAATGTTTCCCCTAACTTCAGGGCTGAAACACACAGCAGAACCACACTAGGATAAAAAGCAGCAGAAAGCATGCAGAAGCTATATAGAGAAACCATATAGTGATGTTGCTTGCAATAATGTATGCCACAGTGTCAAGTAAAAGCAACATTTGGCACCCTCTCATCAGAGCTTTTTAAACACAGTAATAGAACAAGGTGAATTTTGGAAACCGAAAGCCAGGTTTAACAGTAGATGCAGGGAAGCTACTGAGGCCTGCAGAAGCCGGTCCAAGATGAAAGGGAAGTTGCTGTTCAAGGCTCCCAGTTCACCCACAGCAGAACTGAAGCAAGTTGAGGCTCAAGACAAGCAACAAACATACAACTCTCTGCTATCGGTTCCGACCGCAAACACTGACCTGTCGTCACGCACGTGAGGACTCAAGAATCGGGATGAATCATCATCGTGGCTGCTCTGCTGGCTGCTCTGCTGACTGCTACAATGAGAGAGGGCACGAGTTAGATTTGTACAGGTACCTCCGAGCCACTTGGCTAAAAAACTAAAGAATGTGATATTTGGGGGTATTTTGGCTGTATAGGAGCTATGCAATCCATAAGAAGCCAGCATCAAATGTTAGCCTGTCCTGCTAGATATCTCAATGCTTTTCTACCCTTGCCTTTAAGGAAACATCCTGAAAGCAGAGCTTTCTGCAGGCCTGAAGGAGCATTCTCATCTCAGCCCTGCACGCCGTGGACTGCCCTGTACTCCATACACACCCCTCAGGTAACTGTACTTCTAGCAGGAGAAGAGAGCAGCTAAGCAGACATTTGGCTAAGGATCAAAGCATTCGACTCCCAGTTTCCCAAAGTTGCGTGCTGAGCCCGCAAGATGTCACTCTTGTCCCTTGAATGCATGGGTTCAGCATGGTATTTGCACACCCATCACATCATGCTACTCACCTTAATCCACAACATACATACACCCCCCAGTGAGTCTACTTTGATAATGACCCTTTGCTTGTTAAAAAGCTCCTATAGAACTTGGTTTGGTCAGGTTGGATTACAGAAGAGATGCTTGATATTATCAAAAATGAATTCCCAGTATTTCACAGCACTGGGCATTAGCTTTAGGACAGTTATACAAGATGAACCTTAGACCTTTTGGTACTCATCCATCCCTCAAGTTAATTTCTCCATAGTCCTCCAAACTGAGGTTTAAACTTTAACAGAAGTTAGAGCAACACATTGCAGTACTGCCACACTTTACCCCTTGTCACCAGTTAACACTCAAGACCACAAGAAATGAAAGAAAAGAAACTAAGAAGCAGGAAACTTGTTTTTCCCATTTGCCCACGCATGCAATAGTGTTCTGCACTTGCTGTGCTTCACCACAGCTATTTGAGGGAAGCTTCCCACAAAAGTGTTTGACCTTTTGCACAAACAAATCATTTGCACAATCTAGATATTCCACTGTGTAGTTAGACAAGATGCTTACAATACAAAGGGCAGCTGAAATGTCAGAAACTACTAATTTAATTCACTTTCAATTGACCAGATATCAAGATATCAGTGTCCCTTCAAAAGGCTGTAGAATTACTCTCGTTATCCTGGAAATAATGTAAGGCTCTAGGAACAGTAAAGTTAGCACTGAAAGTACCAGAGAAAGCTTTTGGATACAGATAAGATAATTCTGTTTTACATCAGAGAATCTCTTCAATCTAAGCAAGTTTATTACTTAAATTATTATATCGTATTATATTATGTTGCAGTACACAGCAGATTACTTCTCTATACAAATCTTTTATTTGTGTCGAAGTTATAAGGAAGGAAGCTTTCAGAAAGACTAGACAATTCATCTATAGAGAAGGGCAAAAAGTCTTTAAAAACTCAGATCAGCAGACCAAGCTTCTTACCTCATTCCCAATTTAAGCAACTTGAAATGCAAATTGAGACAAATCTTTGGGCGCACAGGTGCGAGCTTGCCAGGGTGCCTCTTGTAATTCTCAAGTGACATGATTTCACCTCCTATATCCTCCGGTTCTCCTCAACTCATGCAACCGTTCAAATTCCAAACATGACTGTATTAGGAACTACTGAGGAGTTTTAATTGGAGATTAACCATGGCTTTTAACCATTAAATCACTGACAAGTCTACCACTTCACCTCAGGATCTCTTCCCGTTTCCACCAGCTAAGCTCGCTTGCATGATCAATTTACACATCGCCCATGTAAGAAAGAACTTTCTCACTGACTGCAAAAGTTCCCTTTGAGTCATTCCCCTGGAGAACAGGGTTCAAAGAGCTTGTCAAAGCAGGAGCAAACTTGCCCCTCACTGCATCCATTTTGCCAATGAAGAGCAAGTTCCAAGAAACCTTCACAGGTGTCAGGGCAACTGCTTTCATCAATATCTCAATATCCCATTCAATCAACAACCGAAGTCTGGAAACACAACTCTGAGAACACCCAGGTGGAGGTGAACTATTGCATGCTCTCAACAGGCATGATGCTGTGTAAGACACTAAATAAAGAGGTTTTGTAGTAAATATTTGCCAATTAGATAAGAAACAGCTGTGAAGCTCCTGGTTGTTTTAAGCAAATCAGTAATTGCACTCCTTTGCTGAACAACTAGTCACCATAGACCACACAAGCATCAAAGAAATATTTAAAAGGAAACCATAACTGCACAAATGCAGCAACAAAAAAGCTGCCAGGAAGCACAGGCACTTGGCCCACAGGACAAACTAGCCCTGACAAACACCTGCAATCACTACAGACTGCTTCAGTGCTCTTCACACATTATCTCCACAGCAAAAAGCAACCTCTGACAGCATCAACACCTCAATGGAGCTTGCAGATTCAAAAAGGAAAGAGACACAATTAACAGCAGATTCCTTCCCAGCCATCACCGAAGCACTTGGACATTTCAGATCAGAAAAGGTCAAACAAGGGCCATTTGTGCTTATGGACATTCCAGAGAAACCCAAACACAAAAGGTATTGTTTAGTACAGAGGCCCAGCTAGGCAAACACACCCGGTTTTGCTTTTAAAAGACAAAAGAGTGGATATCAGCAAGTCAAAATCAAACCATAGGGTATTCCCACATTGTTCATATTGGCTTTCTCCAGAAATTGAATTAAATACAGCTTAAAAGAAACTAGGAAGGATGTAGGAAGAAAACTGACAGTGATTCAATATTTGAAAGCAATGTACTCTCTGCAAACAACTTACTACACTGGAAAACTTTTGTCCAATGTTTTTCATAGCTGAAAACTTAGTCAAACTCCAATTACAAGTAGAGCATGAAACAAACCTAATTCCTTCACATCATTCATGAGGAAAGTTGTATAGAGCTGTCCAATTCCTCACACCAGTGAGAGGTCAGAAACCAACATCAAATAAGCAAAAGTGGCAATTTCAGTACACTCATGTACCTCTTCCTTTAGTGGCTTGCTGTGTTTGTAACAAAGTCCTGCTTCCTCCCATCTCCAACCAGAACTGAAACATGGGCATTTCTCAAAGCCACAAACTGAGAGCTACAAAATTCACAGAATTACCCATTCTCAGAACAATACGGATAAGATAAAAGGCATCAAGGACCAACATTCGGTTCCAGTCCCTCGGAACAAACACACCACTGTTGGTAACCCGCGCGTCAGCCCAGAGCTCCAGCCCTAAGCCTGAACACTACTCATGCAAAAGCACAAGTCGCAGGAGAACTCCCAGCCCCAGACACCTGCACCTTCCCACAGCTCTACTGAGGCCAACTCAGTGTCCTACGCCAGCAAGGCTCAACTGCCACCTCTACTACTGCTCCTATGCTCAGCCAACAGCTTGGAGAGCACCACTAGGCAAACAACCCTCAGGATTAGCCAGGTTGTTAAGAACTAACAAATAACGCACAAACAGCAGTTTATACACAGGCTGGAACCTCTAAACGCAAGAAGCCAGCCAGGCTTGTGCAGGTCTGGAGCATTACAGCCAGCCTGAGTCCAGAAGGGGTTTCCTCCTGCACTAGGCTGTGCTTTCTGCATGCTGCTGGCCACAGGGCAACGGCTCTTGCTCAAAGGCACACGAGCAGCACACACGGCTGGGAACAAACCACCTGGGGCACCTTGAGCTCCCAGCCTTGCCAGCAAACCTGACGTATGTACAGACACGCACTGCAGGTTTGGCCACGGGACCAGGTGCTGCCAAGCACCCTAGAACACACAGTCTTAAGTAGAGGAAGGCAGACAGACAATATGAATGAGCTGTGCTCAAAGGCACCTTCCTGCCTGTGCTTTCTACAACAGGTTCACGCACAGGGGCCTTGCAGTTCCCTCTCAGGTCTCTGCAGAGATGAGGACCTTGGAGCGAGCCAGCCTTCTGATCAGCCATCCATTAAGGCATAGAGGCATGTCGTTCCCCTCACTCCAAAACAGGCTCTTCTCAGGAACACTAAGTTTGAAAGCTGTTCTAAGGACCAGAACCAGAGAGAGCTTCTCAAAGGACTCTTGTTTGTGCACAAGCATTAGGCCACTTGGTCTGGCACCTGCAGGAGACCATCAGCTATGTGTCCCATTCCAGCTGCCAGGCCAAGGCCCCAGGGTGATGCAGGGCACGGGCTCCAGCTGACCAGCAAGCCCTACCCCTGTTCTAGGATAGGGTCTTTCAGCAAGCAGGGAAGGGAGAGTAGGCAAAAACCTACCTGCTCTCACTGTACTCCTCCTTCTCTCTCACACGGAGCCACTTCCGGAGCAGGAAGCGCTTGCGCCGCGGGGAGGCGCTGGGTGTGGAGCAGTTGGACCAGGGGGTGTCTTCATCACTGGAGGGGGTGATTTCAATGGATGGGAGCTGCAGGAACTCCTTGCTGGAGGCCGGGCAATCCTGACCCCTGCCAGCCTCCAGGCTCTGCTCCTGCACGTTCTTCATCCGCCTCATCTTGAAGCGCTTCCTGCGCAGCGTGGGGGTGGACGAGCTGGACCAGGCACGGCCGCCCTCCACCACCTGCTGCTCTGGGACACGCAGCGCTGGGAGCTGCAGGGTTTCTGACATGTTGGCAGCTGGCATCTGATGCCCTTGCTCCTTCTGCTCCCACCCCCACACACACTGGCTTTCTGATCTCAGCCTAAAGCCCTGCACAAAGCCACAAGGCGCCTTTCTCCTCCCTCCCCAGCTCCGCACTCCCCTCCCTCAAGCACCAAATCCCATGTTCCTCAGGTGCTTGCGTTGAACAGGCAGGGTGCAGGGGGAGGGTGCAGGACACACCACGAGGGAAAGCCAGTTTCAAGTTTCTTTTGTCCTTCCCCTTTCCCTGCAAAGCAAGTTCCTCCCCTGCCCGGCTCTCAAATCACTGCGCTCAGCATCGGGACGAGGGCTGCTGGCCACGTCCAGCTCCGCTTGCTTTCCTTGGCTTTGTCCCCTGCCTAACGCTGGCTCAAGGAAACACTCTCCTGGACTGGGCTGCACCACTCAGCTGGGGGTCTTCTGGAGAGCCGAGGCAAATACGGAGCAGCAGGAAGCTGTGAGGAGGTCAGAGAAAAGAAAGGAGGGAAGCAACAGCACTACATAAAAACAGGAGAAAGGAGGAGGAGCAACATGTTCTTTTTCTGTAGCAGATAAGACATACACAGGCAGCTGCTCCTAAGGCAACTGCACGCCTAATCCCCAAGAGGCAGGGGTTATATTACAGAATATGCAGCTGCTGCAAATCAGCCTCATGAAGAAAGGTAACAAGGAATAGCAGCTTTCTGTGGAAGCCAACTGGACACACTTTCCCCTTGTCCCACCTTCCTGCTCCCGCAGCCCAGCTCCTGCAGAAAGGTATGGCACAAACCCAGACTTCCAGCCCTCTGCCAAGGCTAAGACTGTCAGTCTCCCCCAACTGCATAAAGAGAAGGCACCAGAGGAGACTGTGGAATACCTAAAAAGCAGTGGCAGCAGCTGGCACCACCACACAAACTGGCTGTCTTTTAGTTCCAGTTCACATGAGGAAAAGCTTGTAAGAGTTCTCAGCAAAGCTGCTTCCAAAATGACACAGTAGGTACACATAGCCTCAGGTTCAGAATCAACAAAGACATCACACAAAGACATTAGACAGAAGACAGATTAGACCAGGAGAAAAACCACATACTGTACGAATAACCCCAGGCACCAAATAATCAAGCAATGCTCTACCAAGGAATGGCTGTTAGGACCAGACCTGCAACATGCAGAAAATTCAGACTTGCAAATTCCAAAGCTTGCAAAGCTTTTCTTTCTACTGTGAAAACTCTGCAGTATTTTGGGGACTTGAAATGAAAAACATGCCCTTAACTACATGCACTTTGGCATTAAACTGCTTTCCACAAGAGTGGTCATGGTATTTGGAACAGTGGAACATTTCTTAGAACGGAACTTGTGAAGCCCAGTTCTGGTCTTTACATGTCAAAGCAGGAGGAAAGTTATGACTCGACATCTTGCAGATATGAAGCAGGATCACAATCCCAGAGATCAGAATTCAGTTTGCATCTATGCAGCAGATGCCCAGGGTCAGCTGCAAAAGACCCTTTGTGCTTTGCCACTGATGCAGCTCCCTTCCCAAACATAGTAATACTCCCCTGCCTCGCAAGGGAAGGAGAAAAGGAAAACTATGAAATCTCACCAGGAAATAATTCTCTTGTCCTAGGCTAGCCATTCCTATTTGACATCAGCAAAGTCACACCAACAGTTGTCCCAAAGGAACATGCCCAGGCAATTTTATTTTGGCTATGGATACCAGATACCTGCATGTGTTGTTCTCTGAAACCCAGAGACCAGGTTACAAGACAGATACCACAAATTTCACAGACTACAGGGTGAGAAATACTAGTAAGAGATTCCATTTCAGTGTCACAAAACAACACAGGGGCACTCTCACAGCCCTTGCATTTCCATGTTCTCCTCTACTCCATAGGGGAAAAATCCCTTGCACAAGTGGCCCAGTGCAGGAAGGAATCTTGCACTGTTTCATGACAACTGCAGATTCTCATTGCTACTGTTAAACACTCCCAACACTTCTTGCTTTGTCTCTAGAAGTCACGCTGCAATTAAACACAACTCCAAAGGATCTGCCATGTCCCTTCAGTACCAACTAGTCAAAGACCAGATTCGTTTTCATTATAGTTTGACCCTAAACAGAAGTGTTTTCAACAAGTCCCCACTCTGCAGGGCAATTAGCTTGCAGGAAAAACTAGACAAACTGGACTGGCCTTTGGCCCAAGCTTTTAATGCATTTAAGAAATACATTAACACAAATTAAGTCAATAAGAACTGAGAGGCAGCAGGCAATACCTGCCTGCTATAAGAGAAAAGCCATTATGTCCAATCTGGGACAAGACCAACCACTACTGGAAAAGATCGTTACCAGTGTTACCACCTCCTGGATTACTTCCCACCAGTGACTTGGAAATAACTGACATGACAGGACTGGGTCTCATGATGCTGACTCTGGCACCCTGGTAGCAAAGCGCATGTGAAACCAAAATCTGGCTGTCAGCTCTGTTCAGAGGCCACTGCACTCAACTAAAACGCAGGTGCAAAAGCCCAGCACAGGCAAGCTAAACATGTGCTCAGATACACTACACTGTGCTACACACTCACAACAGCAAGCAGCGGGAAGAAGTCAGTAGCACCAGGACTTCACTATCATGATACAGCTATAATTCATCAGATGACAACTATCAAACCAAGGTTCTAGGACCTTTTCCCTTAATGGCAATTCTTCTTTACAACATAGAATAACTGGTTTTATTCAGCATAGGCAGCTTAGAGTGCTCAAGATCACTCTTCTGTGTAGTGGAACAGGGACCTACTCCTGCCTGTATTTCCAGTGGACTGGAGCTAGGGTACACATTAAATCCCATCCCCCTCACAGTAAGGCTACCTGTTAGAAGGAATTACCTTAATAACCTGCATTTTTAAGATGGGTAAAGCCTAGATACTTTCCTTATGAAGGATGCAAGGGGACAGGACTTGCTTCAGCTCCCCTGAATTTCTTCTGTCTGTGCAGCATTGTCCTAAGGGGTCCCACCTCACTGCACACAATTAATCCCAGCAGAGCCAGCGCGCAAGCACAAAGCTCTCCGAACAGGACATTCCTTCCCATTCAGCTACAGCACCTACTTCTCTAGCTCAGCTTAGTCAAGTAGGGTGCATTTTACCCAGACTTGCACACAACAGAACACACACACCAGTTCAGGGACCCAAGACAAACTTAAAGACTCCTTACAGTAACTGAGCTCTCCTGTTCTCAAAGACTACAGCTAAGCATCATTTGCCTAAACTCAGATGCAGAAAAGCCCTCACTTCCCTCTGCTAAGACACAAGGAAGCAAAGACATGCACTTCAAAATGCACTCTCCACATTTCCCACCCAGCAGTCCCTAAGCTTCAGTCTTTGTTGTATTCCCACTCATCACAACAGGTGCACACAAGCAATAGAAATGGCTCTCCATCACCAGAGAGCAAGAGCTTTTTGCTACTATATTTGTTTGCTAATGCTCCCAGAAACCCCATGGCTGCCCTCAAAATATCCCCAAGTTACAGCCAAGAGACCATCGGGCAGAGCAAGGTCACAGACCGTGCAGCGGCACCACGCCAAGTGTGGAGGGGAGCACTCTGGGATGAGGCCCGCATGGAGCGCCAGGACTGTGCCCTATCTACCCCATCTGTGCCCAGGGCTAAGGCACCAGCAGTGACCCCAGCACTGAACCCAGCGCTCCCTTGCTTGTGTTTGCCTTTCTGCATAAAGGTGCTAACAGGAGCAAGCAGGTGACACATCTCCAGCAGTTTGGGTTCTTAAGTCAAATGGGACAGTTATCATCTACAATTTTCAGAACAAAGGAATATCTCAAATGCACATTACAAGTCTGCCATCTGAACTGTGCACGTGTTAAGCAGAATATGCACAGCTAAACACTGATTTATCCAGAGATTTGCTGGATGGGTCAGACATTCTTGAAATAGGCAGCACCCTTTTACACTTAGCCTGGGTCCCTGTTCCCACCTTCTGGAGTCCAGAGTCCAAGAAATGCCCTTAAAACCAAGCTGACCAGTGAAGCAACACATCTGCTAAGAGATCCTTTACCAAAGGAGCCCTGCTGCTCTCTAGTGGTTAAAAAGCTGCAGGACACAACAACCTAGCTTAACATTAAAGAGGTGGTTTCTAAAAGTCCTCTTTTAAAAAGTACTCTTTTAAATAGTGGCAGATCAGGGACTGAATTGGCTAAGTAGCTGCTACCAGCTGAGTGCACCACAGCTTGAACCAGGATCTCGTCTTTCTGGCTTGGAGATTAAGCCAATAAAAAGTTCTAATGAATCAGAAAAAGCAGCCAGAAAAACCTCCTCCTGGGCAGATATCCTGGGTAATAGCTGAAGGACCCAGACAGGTCCAGAGAGGGTGGGTTAGGCAGAACCACAAGCCTTGACACAATGTTTGCAGAACAAGCTCATCCCAGGGAGATTCAGAAGAACTGCACCTGTTTCCCTCACTGTTTTAAGGGATTGAAACAACTGTTCTGCTCCCAAGCTGCCTTCTACAGAGGTAAAGCAATAGGCCTGAGTGTACATTTCTCTCAGCAGGCATTTTCCATTTCAACAAACGGAGAAAAAACCCCAAGTCTCAGTCTACCAAATTTACAAATCAAGGGCTCCTCAGAGCTATCAACTCCAGGATGCAAGAACAAGCCTCATGTTAAAATATTAACTACTGCTAACTTTAGAATTGCCTATAGGGTAGGAAGGAAAGAGGACATGAGGAAGATGTATGTGGTTTTGAGAAGGAATGGTGTTATTCTGAGCTATTTCTGTTCTGTGCTACCTGCCTTTCTTTGAAGATTTTGAGAACGGCCTACTTATGTCTATATAGCAGGTTTAAGGGACAGAAGAAAACAGTGACAGGCAGAGCAGCATCCCACCCTCAGGGTCTAACTCCCCCCGTGATGTACACATACAAATTCACATTTCTATCAGGGAACAGAGCCACAGCACTAGCTCAGAAAACACAGTTACAAACTGTGGGTTTTTTTTTTTATTCCAAAGCTATTCTAAGGC